ACATATTCCTTTAATTATTTAATATCTTGAATTTATCTTGACATTTGTTGTGAAACGGAAGTTATTGTAAACGAATGATCAAATTGAAAATTTCTTCAATTTCCTTGGAGAACACTCTTTGCGAACAATTATTTTTCCTGAAAAATTTTTATTCGTGCATCAATTTTTATTGTTTTCATGGTTTTCATTTGACCTTTCAAGGTCAAATGAAAAAGAGTTTCAACCTCGTGCCGTCAGTTGTAGGTGATGCACGTGAAATCTAAAAAAAATTAAAACAACTACCCAATTTGCCAAAAGTCCTTGTACCTCTTCCATAATTCAGATAGGAAAGTGAGAAAAGTTTCCATTTTAGAAAAAGTGACCTCTATCTGTGAAGGTGATTGAATCATATACATGCCGTTCATGAGGCGGTAAACGTAAGATCAATTATAAAAGAAAAAGTGGCTTTGAACCCCAAATCCCCAATTACCATCCCACGAACTCATGTGAAATGACCAAATAAATGATTTTTTTTTAATGAAAAACTAGTGTTAGGAAGCACACTTTCAAAGGTAAGACCTTGTTAATCCTTAGCTCGCACAAGTTTCGACTTCTGAGGGTTGTCGTTCGTATGGGAGCGACAGCTGATTAACGGAAAAACAGATTATAAACAGATTTAATTTTACCGGCAATAAAAGAAGTAATAAATATGTGTTCTATAAACCACCGGCAGATATTATCAGAATAATTCCTTTGAGCAATAGTTCCATGCAATGACGAATTGATGAGATGGGGGTTGTAGGAGTGCGACAACTGGTTAACGAAAAAACAGATTTTAAGACAGGGAATTTATAAACTTTAGAATATAGAGATCACTTTTCTCGGTGACACTTTGGATAGGCCGTGTACTTACGTATTTTGCAAATCTGAAAGAAAAAGCGTTACTCTCCCTCATTTCCAGAGTTACGTACCTCTGAAATTCCGAAACTTTTTGACTTTCTTTTTGCACAATTTAAACAATAGAATCATAAGTATTCACTCAGCATATCTCCTTCACACTTTATTTCACTTTTGACACTTTTCATATAAATAATGAACATTTTTCCTATAAAAAACTAGTTTTAACAATCGATTTGTTTTCTGGTGACATTCCTACATTGTATGGTTATATACTAGTGACATTTCGAAAAATGCGGCTCCATCAATTAATGAAGTTTTTTTATAGAAAAAAATGTTGATTATTAAACTGAAAAGTGTCAAAGAAGGTGAAACAAAATGTGAAGGTGATGTGAATAACTACTTGTATTTTTCTATAGTTTGTAAGGTGCAAGAAGAAGGGTGAAAATTTGGAATTTTTAGAACTTTGAAGGGCTGTAACTCTGGAAATGAGGGATTTTTTCTGCTAATTTTTTCATGTATCATTTGGTTAGCAAAGACCTCAATTGTAATTGATATATGAATTTATGAAAGTCGTACGAAAACTTTTGGCAATTCACTCTTCACTTGGGTTATTCTTTTCATTGTTACTTGCACCACCTACAACTCATTCCTATTGCGCAGAATTCTTCATATTGAAGTTAAGATTGAAGTATATCTGATAGATATAATTTTTCATATAGTTAGTGAAATACGTGATGATTCAACGTATATAACAGTCTACTGTGAGATTTTCACTGAACAAAACCGCAACACACGCCTAACTATTGAGGGTGTATTTTAAATTATGTCATTGATTTCCGGTGGTGATTACCTGTCATATTGTACGAAAAAAGGTTCATATGAACGTATGTATGTCTAACTTGCTTCGTTTCTGAGTATCGGGGAAAATATCGTTTTTCATTGATAACTCAAAAGTGTTTTCGCCGATTTCAATAAAAATAGGAGTTTTCATTAACAGTATAGAGAGACTCCTTTTAATAAAATTAGATAACGGATAATAATTCCACTGGCGTTGCAGAGGGTTACCTGATTGATATTTATCGTTAAAATAAATGACCACCGCTGTTTCGCTTTGAATTTGATATTTTTTTGAGATTGATCAAATAATAAAAACATGTTTGTAGACAAGATTTTATACAAATGCACTGAACTGAAAAGATTATTTCTTCATTTGTTTAATCTAGGTTATTCTGTAACATATTTGAAATCTTCCTGCGTAATATTACCTATTTTGTATCCGTGGCGAGCCTCTTACGCACATAATAACTCAAAACCAATAGTGAAAAGAATTAGTTTTTCATTCAAAGTGTATTTGTATGAAAGCAAAATTTGAAGTAGAAATTTAATATGCATTAAGATAAGGAATAGAAATTATGTACTTTGACGACAATAATTTGTAAAGTGAAAATTGATTTAACCACGCCACTGCTTTTTTTTCACTGTGTTTATTGGATCTTCTTCCGTTTTTGTTTCGTAGAATTTAAAATGATACCAATGATTAGAAAATGCTGATTGTTAACCACAGTAGGTACAAGTCTCTTGTAACGTAAATTTTTTTGACAGTTAATAACGCGAATGGATGGATCATCAAATTGTTTCAACGTGCAAACACGGTTGTGTTGGTACATACTATCAAGTCATTATGAACAACTATGAATTAGCTGAAATGAATTTCGTTTATGGACTAATAGAATAGTAGGTGGAAATGCTTCAGGATCCCGTCGACTCTATCGAGAAAGATATCCTAACAGAGATATCTTTCACCAGATGACACCAGAACTTTTACCAGCTTGCACCAAAACTTTCACCAGATTACGCCCGAACGTTCGCCAGATTACACCAGAACTTTCGTCAGATTACACCAGCACTTTCGCCAGATTACACCAGAACTTTCGCCAGAATACACCAAAACTTTCGCCAGATTACACGCTAGTCTGCGCGAAACTGGATCTTTAAACAGGTAGACCGATGACAATAATGAAACCACTACTAGAGGAAGTTGGCGGGCATTTTTTCAACAAGTACCCGAAAATTAACTGTACAGTTCAATATTGGTCATCGAAGTGTTTGGAAGGTTTTGCATACAAATTTATTGTATGCGTACCACAAGTGACGGGGCCAGGCACTCTTACCGCGAGATTTTCTTAGACGATTAGATTTTTGTCAGTAGTTCCTTTTAAGAGCTGTACAAAATCCCAATTTCACTTGTGAAGTTTCATTCACAGATGACGCAAGTTTTTCAAGGGATGCTATCATGAACTCTTATAAAAATAATTCGAGAGCCTACCAAGATCCCCGTATTACCGTAGAAAGTGGATTTCAGCAGGAATTTTCATGTGAACGGCTCAATGGTGTGACGTATAGACAATTTCTAGAAGAGTCATTGCCAGAATTTTCAAAGGACGTACCTGATCTAGTGAGACAAAATAAGTGGCTTATCCACGACGGGACATCTGCTTATTTTAATGTAACCGCTCGTGAATATTTTACTGATACTTGTGCTCACTAGTGGATAGGTCATGGGGAATCTCAACCATGGCCACCTAGATCTTCAGACTTGAACCATAAATATCATTTAAGTAACCATCTGCGACGCCACTGGAATCAAAAATCCAAATATATTTTCATTAAAAAAACTTGTTGTTACTGATAACAAACACAAGTAGTTTAATCGGAATTTGCGAAAACAATTGTGAGTAATTGATACACCAAAGTTACTCGTAAGCAAAGCAAGTTGGGACACACGTTCAAGACCTTTTTTTCATTAAATATGACAAGTAGTCATCACCTGAAATTAAAGACATTATTTAAGATATACCCTGTATAATATATCCTTCAGACTTGT